ATACCTCCTTTTCAAGGTCACCTTGAAGAAAGGTATTGTGAACATCCATCTGAAATAATGGTCATTGATTCATAGCTGCTAATGCAATTACTGTCCTAATGGTTACTATTTGGACCACATGAGAGAATATTTCTTGATAGTCCAACCCTTCTTGTTGATTGTACCCTTTAGCAACCAATCTAGCTTCGTATCTCTCTATTGTTCCATCTGACTTATGCTTGATTTTGTATACTCATTTGCAACAAATGGGAACTTAGCCTTTGGGAATAAGAACCATCTATCATGTTTTATTGCTCACTGGTGCATCTATTTCAGCTTATATAATATCTATCCATTTCTAATCCTTCATTGCTTGATGATAGGATGTAGGTTCAATATCTATTATCATTTCAGTATGATAACTCTGATATGCAGTGCTTAATGTGTCATACCCTAGATAGTTGGACATAAGATATAGGCAAGTAGAAGAAGAATGCTTCATAGTTGGGTAGATGTAATATTTTGTCTAGACTGGTGGTTTAGACCTTCTGCTGGTTCTTCTAAGTTGCATATGTGATATTTCCTTATGTGCCACTTTTTCTGCCTGGTCTGACTGTTAAACTAGAGCCTCCCCATCATCACTAATGGATAAGTTATCCAGCTGGGGTATTGCATCTTCATTTTCAGCATGTAGTTGTCTCATTTCTTGAGTAGGAGCCTGCATTTCCTGAACAGGAGTATGTTGTTATGGAGGTGCATATTGTTTTGCATATTGCCTAGTTGATTCAAAGAACAATGCAAGACTTTTTCCTTCTTACATCATCATGAATGTGAATACATCCTCTCTAAATGTAACATCCATGCTGACAAAATTTTTTTGTCCTTGAGATTGTATAAGTTGTACCCCTTTTGAGATGTTGAATATCCCATATGGACTGCTGCTATTGCCCTGAGTAGAAGTTTATCATTCTGTCCGATGACTATAGCAAAACAAAGACAACCAATAACTCTTAGGTATAGTAGTGAAGGTGGTGATTTGTGGAAGACCTCATATGGTGATTTGCCACCTAGTACAAAGGATGGCAGTCTATTTATCAAGTACACAACTGCTAATACACAATCTCCCCAGAAAATGTAGTAGTATACCACCTTAGAACCTTAGTGCTCTTACCACCTCTAAGATATGCCTGTGTCTCCTCTCTACTACTTCATTTTGTTATAGAGTGTGGGCAACTACTTTGATGTATTATCCCATTGTCTGATAAAAAGGTCGTACATTCAGATATGAAAAACTCAACTCCATTATCAATTCTAAAGCATTTAACATTATGGTTAAACTACACATTCACCATCTTGATAAAAGACATTAGAATCACAAGTGTATCACTTTTCAACTTCATTAAGAACACCTAAATCATCTTTGAATGATCGTCTACAAGTGTAAAAAAGTATTTATTTCCATTAGAAGTAGGCACCTTGCTGGTCCTAAGATATCTACATGTATTAATTGAAAAATCACTCTTGCTCTAGTTGTACTGAGGGGAAAGGGATTCCTAGTTTATCTTGCTAATGGACATACAATGCATTTATTGAAATTGCATTCTATAGGCATCTTATTCTTCATGAAAGCCAGCTGCCTCATAACTCTAGCTGGTACATGTCCAAGCCTTCTGTGCCACACATTATTGTTTGTTGTAGCATCTTCTGCCAAACAATTCCTAATCTGTTGTCTGAACTTATTTGCACTTTATCCATCTGGTAATAGCAAGTAAACACCACCCTTTTCTTTACCAATCTCTTTCACTTTCCCAGTGCATAGGTCCTGAAATACACAGAATGATGGAAAGAAAGCATTGAGGAAAACAGTTCCTTAGTTAATTTTGAAACTAATAGTAAGTTGTATTTGAAGTCAGGCAAAGACAGAACATTGTGAATTAATTCACCACCTGTGATGTTACACTTTCCTTGGTATACAACTGATATTGATTTTCCATTTGGAAGATGAACATTACCTCCTTTGGTGTTAGGTAATTTAGTTATATCAGTCAGCAAGTTAATGTTTGAAGTCATACGATTTGTTGCTCCTGTATCAATGATCCAAGGAATATAACATGTTTGAGTCAATTGTGAATTAGTGGTATCTGCCATATTTGCTGCAAACTCTTCTCCCTTGTCCTGATACAATAGCTTTATTATCTGGTTGTACTGCTCATCCGTGAAATAGTTGTGCATTCCTTGTTTTGCCGCATTAGAATCTGCAGTTGTGGCTGCTTGAAGCATATCATCTTTTGCATGAAATTCATCACCCATGGCTGAATTGGCTTTTCGATACTCCTGCTTCTTCTTTCCTTTAAAACCAGGTGGATAGCCCACCAACTTATAACAAGTATCCTTAGTGTGACCTTTGGTTCTATAGTACTCACAGTATAGATTTTTATACCTCTTGAACTTCTGTGGATTATCTTTTGAACTCATTGAAGCAGTAGAATCATTCACCTCATTCATAGGTGTATTGGTCATACAGACTTTACTTTGGCTCTCCTCATGAATCAACATAGCATATGCACGAATCACACTTGGTGATGGGGACAAAAGTAGCATCAGACTTCTAATGGCACTAAAGCTATCATCTAATCCCATCAAAAATTGAAAAATCTTCTGTTGTTTTAGGTGCGTTATGAATTCTCTTGTTTCAGGAATTACAGGCAGAGTTGGAATAAAAGCACTATACTCATCCCACAATAGTTTAATTTTAGAATGATAAGCAGAAATACTGGAGGTACCTTGAGAAACTGTAGCAATTTCGCGATGAAGATTGTAGATCCTTGATCTATTGATTTTGTCAAAATGATCCTGTAAATCAGCCTAAACCTCATGAGCATTACTGGCATAGAATATCCCATTCATTAATTTCGGCGACACAGTGTTCATGATCCAAGTCAAAACTGTGGCATTGACACGTTGTCAATCCTTGCCTAGATCATTAGTAAATTGTTCCTTAGTGCGTGTACCATTTATGAATCCTAATTTTTGTTTAACTCTCAATTTGATCTTCATTGCTCTGCTCTAGACCGAAAAATTCTCGCTCCCAGTCAATCAGACTGAAATTATTACATTTTTAGCGCATATGAAGGTTGTAGATACAACGGATGTCGCGGATTATCAATATCCAACTCCACCATTGTTGATTTACTCAACAATTGGGGATTTGAGAATAGACAAAGAACGATAGAAAATTCTCTCAACAATTTCACAGAACAACTCTCAAAACCAAAGTTTCACAGCTTCGATCAATTCTCTTAGCTCTGATACCATATTAAATTCACCATTATTGAGTGGATATTGAGCTTAGCTAAGAACGAAGATGAAGGATATGGAGAGAAGCTTCTCGATAGTTACATTTTCTGTGTATTGAGAGAAAGAAAAAATCAATTACAGTACTCGTTCTTCACAAATACATACACGTATATATATATAAAATATATAGAAGTACAAACTGAATTTTGTCTTATATGTATAGTGTAATTTTCTGTCTTATATGTCTTATATGTATAGTGTAATCAATTACAGTACTCGTTCTTCACAAATACATACACGTATATATATATAGACTCTAAACCAGCTTACTCAATTAGCACTAACTCTAACATTAATTCTGTTATAACTAACTTCTAACAACTAGCTAACACTATGCTAAAGTGACTGTCTGTTGCTCAATACTCTGCCTCAGCTTCTTACTGTGCACATAGTCATTCTAGCATTTCAACAGATTCAAAATAAAATATATAGAAGTACAAACTGAATTTTGTTTTATATGTATAGTGTAATTTTCTGGCAAAGGAGGTTCGGGTAAACCCCTTCCGCCCCTAAATCACCCCTCCAAGGAGGGAAAAAGATGCAAGTAGTCCTTACAAGTTTGTACTTTGTATGTGTCACTACTGAAAATTATTAAAGGGTTCCAAAATGGAAATTATACCTAAGAAATTAAAAGGCACTGAAGATTCAAGTGGTTGAGTGGCTATACTCTAATGATCTTGATTGGTCATTGTTGTAGCCGAACGAAGACTGCAGAAGTAAAATAAATTTCGTCACTCTCTGTAAACAATTCACGTGACAGGCCTTTAAATCTAGTTCTGCAAAATTCAGAAATCCAGTTTATTTGCTCGAGAATATCATATACTTATAAATTGTTCATATAAGACAGTAATAGTAAAAACAAATTTACCACTATTTATCAAGTTATACACTCACTTGGAAAGTAGGTTAAAATTATTTGACTAGCTAGATATTAAGCTCCGTTTGGTCATAAATTTTGGTATTTTTTTTAAATATTTTGAAAGAGTTGCTTGTTCATGGAATATGATAAATTTTTAAAAAATATATTGACTTTTTTTTTTGAAGTTTCCAAAAATTGATTTAGGGCAATTTTTGGGTGAAATTTTTTTCTTGCGCTCACAAAACTTTAATTTTTTTTCCAAATAAAATACATGTGTAAACACAACTTCAACCTTCAAACGCTAGCTAAGTTAACAGAATTACGAGAAGGAATTGTGCGATGGGGCCAAACGGTCTCTATCAATATACTCCGCCCTTTCAATTTACGTGAACCTATTTCCTTTTTAGTCCGTGCCAAAAAGAATGATTCCTTCCCCTATTAGAAAATAATTTACCTTTATGCAATGATTTATAATCACATAAAATTTATGTGCCTCATTTTATACCACAAGTTTAAAAGTTTTCTCTCCTTTTTTTAAATTTCGTGTACAGTCAAACGAGTTCATATAAATTGAAACGAAAATAGTATTACTTTTCGACTGCCTAAATTCTAACGTGGTCCATAAAACATCTTACACGTAAATCTAACTTGATTTAATTATAGGTAGCGACACCTTCCTAATTATGTACCACTAAAAAGCATTGAATTTAACCCAACTACCAACTGATTCTTTCACACCTCCATTTGGCCGAACATTAATTTATGTCCAATTTTCTCTCTATAAAAACCCTACGGTCTCACTAGCTTTTTTACACAACACTCAAGGTAGTAACATTTGTAGTACTATCCTCCTCTACTTCCTCCAAACTACTCTCTATTGTTCTCTAATTTTTCTTTTAAGAATGGAAATGGTAGGCAAGATTGCATGTTTCGTGGTTTTGTGCATGGTGGTGGTTGCACCTCATGCAGAGGCACTAAGCTGCGGCCAGGTTCAGTCTGGCCTGGCTCCTTGCCTCCCTTATCTACAGGGCCGTGGCCCTCTCGGAGGCTGTTGTGGTGGTGTTAAAGGTCTGTTAGGTGCAGCCAAGTCCCCAGCTGACCGCAAGACTGCATGCACTTGCCTGAAATCGGCCGCTAATGCTATTAAGGGTATTGACATGGGCAAAGCCGCTGGACTCCCTAGTGCTTGTGGCGTTAACATTCCATACAAGATCAGTCCCTCCACTGATTGCTCCAAGTACGTTATCCACTTTCTTTTCTTTCTTATATGAGTTTACGATCTCTCATTTAATACTAATATCAAATTACATTGATGTAATAATAATTTGCTAGTGAGTATATAACTTAATCTCCTTTTGCAGTCCATACACTACCTACATCTTCATTTTTACTTCAATATTTAGTCACTTGAAAGTTGGGTAACATAACTATATATTTTTCGATACATATATAATCACAGATTTCTAATACATTGAATTGTGTGTGTGTGGTTAATGTTGGTTTCATGTGACAATGCAGGGTCCAGTGAGGTTGATGAAAGATGGATCAGTTTTCCACAGGATAATTTGTTAGAGAAGAAGAATAAGAGTGATCGAGTATGATCCTGCTTATGGATCCATTTTGATTTTGTGTTTGTTGTCTCTATATTTTCTGTTTTGTCTTTTGGAGTCATAATCAGAGTCTTGTAATGAAACTTCAACGGTTGGTTGTATTACAATCCAATCAGCTTGATAATACATCTATATTTCTATGTACTAATTAATTAATGTCTCTTCTACGCGGATTAATACCTTCTCTCTGTTCCATTTTCTTTTTATTGTTTTTTCATTTACTATTCATTAATGCTCTAAAATTATTTACATAATTAATCGACTAAGTTAGAAAGTGCTTACGTTGAACTTGATGAGTTGGTACCTAAAGAAGATATATGTTAATTAACTTTGTAACATACTCCGTAGTCCCTTCGTCCCCCAAAAGAATACTAGTATGGTTCGGATTTCCAGAGTCACGAATTGTAACTAATAAAATAAGATGTGACAAATAAAATACACAGGAGAGGCGCTACAACAAGAGGCAACACTAGGGTTTATATGTCGCACAATTGTCAAAAAGCCGTCGTATAATATTATCTTTACATTATCTATCTATATCTTTATATTTATTTATATTATACTAAAAATACAAAGGTTTTTACTGAAATGTCGTTTACTTTTTTACCCTTAAAAAAATTTATATGGGATAAATCTGTAATTTTATTATTTTCCTAATAGTTAAAGGTTTAAAATCAACTAAACTTTTGGTTATTTAATCTTTCATTAACTGACCAGGCTATCCTAATATTTAGGATTTTAAAATCATTACGGTTTTACCTTATAAATTTTTCAATTCCAACTATGTAATAAACTAAGGTTTAGCTTATATAAATTAAACTAATTAAATATTAAAACGGAACCCTTCCTCTCCACGTTCTTGTATTTCTTGTCAGCCATCCTGAGAGGTAAACTTTCTTTTCCATTCTTTATTTGTGCAATGACAGTACTTATTGATCACAGTGAGTTTCTTTTCTTTTCTATTTTTGATGTTGCACATATGCTATATGTGCTTTAAATTTTTTTGTGCTTCTTTTAGTTTCTTCTTTAAATTTGACAATTTGTAAAGAGATTACGAATGAGAGCTTTTGTTCTTCAGTGAGTATGAATTGGAGTTGGAATAGGCACTTGCGACGAGATGATCAGTAGAGATTCGATTGGAAGGAGAATAAAAAATAGCCCTGAGAATGTCAAGGCAGTGTAAATTAAGATATGGAATCAAAATAATATATAAATTCTTTTTCTAATTGAATAATTGTATAAAATAAGCCATGTTAAAAGTTAAACTTTTCAGTTTATAATTATTCAAAGTATGAAATATAAAGCATGTTAAAAGTTAAGTTAGACCTTAAACTCTTTGCATACGAGACTTTTAGTTCAACTCGTATTATGCATCTTAAAATTTGTTTGTGGTTTTTACTTTAGCGATAGTAATTTATTCTTTTTTATTCTGTCGGACAAAATTCATATAGTAATTTTTATTGATTAAAAAAATAAAATATTTTGTATTTTGTACGCGAGAAAGAAAAAATCATTGTCTTATTTTAGTTATACTTCATACCATTTGGGTTTTATAGAATGAACTTGAAAAATGACCGAGACAAAAAAAAAACAAAAAAAAAATTGGACCAACTTGAAAATAGCTTTTTAAAAAAATAGAAATTAAGGTCTTAAATCTTCAAAGGTTATGAAGGTGATGAAATTATAAAATAAGAACTATGTTTAAGTTGAATATATGGAATGATGAATTAGTTTCTTCATTTATTAACGTAGCTATGTAGGTTAATATTCAACAAATTCAGGAGCTTAAATTTTTATTTTATAAATCAAACTCTATTTTAATTTAATATATATGTGATTTTTTTTTAAAAAAAAATAGTATTCATCAAGATAGGGTACACGCGCAATGTGCTTACCCGAATACTAATATAGGCAAATAGTTGCAAATCTATATATATCTATAATCGAGGGACTTTGGCCCGGTGATGTGACACTCTCCTAACCAAGGATTTCAAACTATCTTTTTTCTTCATTTTTTTATGTTTCTCCCACTCATTCTTTTTATTTTAATTTAATTGCAATGATTATGTAGGAGTCTAAAGTCATGTCTCTTGAAAAAGAATTTCAAAAGTCATTACTATTAATAAATAACCGTTTCTTTGCATGAGAAAACCCAACGGCCAAATCGAAGGACTTGTGCCAATTATATACAGAATCTAATGCCTCATCACAATGGTGAGGAATTTCTGCATCATGTATATTGAAAAGGCAACTGAAAAAGTTTTTCATATTTGACTTTGATAATCATTTGTCATCTTCAAAGCTTTAGTCCATCTCTATGGAGTGGATGCATCATCTCCCTTTTTTAAAGGTTCTGATTTCCTTCCTTCATTCAAACGTATACATTTTTATTTTTCCTTTAATCACTTATCCCATTTGAATGGATCACGATTACGGCATTTGAAATCATTCTGGAAAAATGACTTCTAAAGGAGATATAAGGATCACAACCTTTCCACTGATATCACTATTTGCATATTCTCATTTGACATCTTGCTTTCTGCATATTTCATTTCTCTCTATCTGATATCAAAAAAAATAATTCGCAAAAATATTAGTGAAATCCATGGTAATACCTTGAAGTCGGCCCATCATTTTTTCCCGAGTAGTAGGAACTGAAAAAGTAAGTACGTACTTTTGGTAATTTTTATATTGCAATCGTTGTTGCACAAATTTTACGAACATATCTTGGACATACTTGGTTAATTTTCAGGTTTAAAACAAGAAATTTGCAGCCTGAAATTTGGGTGCTAGGACAGAGAGAGATCCTTGACGTTGTAGCTTTGAGGTAGAGAGTCGTTACTCCCTCCGTTTCATATTAAATGAGGTACTTTCCTTTTTAGTCTATTCCAAAACAAATGATATATTTCTAAATTTGGAAATAATTGAACTTTAAACTCTTTCATTTTACTCATTTACCCTTAATGAGATGCTTTTATAGCCACACAAATGTCATGGCCCCACAAACTTTTTACCCCTTAAGCTTTTAAGACCACAAGTTTCAAAAATTTTCTTCTTTTTTCTTAAACTCCGTACCGAATCAAACTAACCTCATTTAATATGAAATGGAGGGAGTATTTCATATGTGTGGATGTTGGTCGGGTGTGAATTTTACATTTTCCAACTGGCCAGGTTTATTAAAATCTCCACTTTTCTTAATACTAATGACATTTCTATTTGTTAAGATCTTTTTCTATGAAACTCACGTGCTAACTCGTATCTTGAATTGATGCTGAGTTTTATATAACCATTTGAATCATGCAAGATATATATTATTATGAATTTATGACTATCTATTGAAGTTAATATTAAATCTATATATTAATATAAAGCAGGGACTTTAGAAAGTGATGTGGCATATCTTATCGATTGAGAAAATGTATTTATCTATTTTCTTAGATTTTAGAGATTTTTCTTCTCTTTTCACACAATAAACTCAATTAATAAACCTAAAAGAATAATTTCCAGAAATGGTGCATTAGTTTTCTTATGTTACACCTATTGTGTCTCCTCTCTTCCCTCATTATTATGTACCATTACAACTTTTTTCTGTAACGTCTTCTTTTTTCTTGCAAGCATCTTTTCAACCTTCTTCTTTGTTTTGAATTTTTTTTCTCCACTTTTTTGGTCAGGTTAATTATTTTACTTTTTGTTAAGACCTACTACAACACTTTTATGTAGTAAGATCTTTTTCCTACAGGCCTCTCACCTCTTCCCTAAATTTTGCAACCTGTTTAAAGTTAAATTTACGCACCAATCTCAAATTACTTGCGCATTCTATGTCGTTCAAACTTCGTTTTACTTTAAATTTGAAAAACAAGAAGGGACATCAATAGGCAGTAAAAGCATCAAACAAACAATGAAAACAGAGGGAGTAGATATTATCGTCGAATGCGTTGAGTTTAGTAGAAAAAGAAAGAAGAGGAGTCAGATGCATGACTTTTGATGGAGTAAAAAGATTCGTGTCTTTTGAAGGAAGAGACAGAGCAAAGCCTACTAACTCATATATTGATACTGAGTTTCAGATAATCATTTGAATCATGCAAGATGTATTATTATGAGAGACTTGACACAAAAGGGTAGAGTTTTTGTTAAGATCATTCATTACGAATAGGATGAGAATAGAGAAAAAGAAGGGGAGATGGAGATGCACCAGACTCCGAAATGTATATTGAATGAATGTGTGTATTATATAGAATAGTAGAATATATTTATCATTTTTGTTATAAAGCCAAATTAGGAGGAAATTTTTCTTAGTAAGAGAGGAAGTAACATGTTAGGAGGAGAGAAAGAAGAAAAGAAACGAAAGAGACGATAAATGAAAGGGAAAAAAAGAACTAGAAATGAAAGGGAAAAAGAAAAGAAGAAAGTACATACATTTCTTTTTCCATTGTTACCTAATCTAAAACTTTTTGATTTTTATCTTCTTCTTTTTCATCTGTTACATTTTTTCCTTCTTCTTATTTTTTTTGGTTTACTTTCCATTTCTCTTTTCTTTGTCGTAAATATAGGAAACTTTTAAAAAGGAAAAGAAGGTGTAGAGTGTAGATTTTACATATATATCCTATGGCCAAAAAACACGTTTATATTTTTCTTCTTCTTCTTTTTTTTTCCTAATTAGCTTTGTTCGTTTTACCTCCCCTTATTTGAGGAATCCCACTTAAGATCTTTAATTTGTGAAGATTAAGGATCAGACAATCGTGTTTAATTTAGAGGAGTAGAAAATTGATAATTTTTTTGTGCTCAAATATCTCTAACTAGTTTGGTTATTTTCACCTTACCTTACCTAAATTCCCCTATTGAAAGCCACTTATGAGTTATGAGGGGCTTTGAATCTGCAAATACCGTTATTTTTCATCGACGCACTACACCGGTTTTTGGGGATGCTAGAAGTATCTAATTTGCTATTTCTTTTGGCAGCTTGCTCATATACCATGAGAAACTAACTACTTAGTGCTTTTTATTGATCATATAGGTAATAGTGCTTGACTTTGGGAAGTATACTCTTTATGATGATATATGAAGAGGTATGTTTCTTTGGTCAAAATGAGTGTTTTAGTTGGATTAGAAGCCAACTATAGTCGAAGATTTAATAGTATGATATGATGAAGTGGAAGAAATAAAGAAAGAAGAGAAAGAGAAAAA